AGATTTTCAAAATTCTCTAGTGTTTATCAGAGAGGAGGGCCCAGATGGCCTTATATAAGCTTAAAGGGGAGGCAAACTGATAGTGGAGGAACACGGAGTTAGTCCTCCAGGCCAATGAGACCCCCGTTACTTGGGAGGTATTTAAGGAATAGTTTTTCCTAAAGTAATTTTCCTAATCTGTGAGGGACAAAAAAGAAGCTGAGTTCATCATGATAATTCAAGCAGCCAATAAATCCTTTGAAGAGTACTTGACTAAATATATTAAGCTGTCATGTTATTCCACATATCCCCAGCGCATGAACGATGAATACTAGTTTATAGAGAAAATGATTAGGGGACTGAGACCTGAGTTGAGAGAAAAGGTAGCCCCACGACAACCTGAAGTGTTCAATAAGGCAGTAGAAGTTTGCCGTATCATGAAGAGTAGCCAAAATCATCATGATTTGGCTAAGGCAACCCCGAGGGCCGAGACACTCGTAGTAAGGTTGGGTCAAGAAGGAACTTCTTATGGTGGCAATAGGAAGAGGAGAATGTTTAATTTTTCAGGGAGGTCTAGACGATAAGAAGGAGCAAGGTGAGAAGGGTTTGACAACACTTGCTGAGAAAAAGAATGTGATATCTGTGGTAATAATCACGGAGACCGGTCATGCATGATAGGTCAGAATATGTGCTTCAGATGTGAGAAGCCAGGACATTTTGCTAGGGAGTGCCCATAAAGTGTAGACAGTTCGAGACTCGAGGCTTAGGACAGGGTGTTTGCTCTTAATAAGGAAGAGGCTAGTAAATCACTTGAGATGATCCAATGTACGATTAGTGTGAATAATTACCTTGTGCATACGTTGTTTGACTTGGGTGCCAGCCACTCCTTTATATCATATGATTTCACTAGACCCATAGGCCTCACTATTGACACGTTGGTGTATGATCTTTGGTTTTTCACTCCCACTGGTGCTAAAGTTTTAACTTCCCGTGTTTGTTTAAACTGTATTGTCCGGTATGCCCAATGTTGCACTACATATTTCCACTCCTACTGGTGCTAAAGTTATAGTGATGGTGAATTGGTGATAACTAATAACGAAACTACTGAAGATTAGATAACTACTTTTTATAATTTTTAAACTAAACGTCAATTTTTTATCGAAAGACTAAACATCAATTTTATAAATAGTAAAATGAATATAACATAAAAGCTCAAACTTTAGATCATTGCTTTTTGATATATAATAAAAACCAGACCAAATTGAACTGATAAAAATATAGGACCCACATGTTTTACAAAAACAAGCTAATATTTTTATATTTCATATTAATTATTTAGTACAGAAAATAAAAAAATCATTATTAATTAATGATGATAAGAGTGCATGGTTATATATACACACACATGTATGATATAATATCTATTCTGATTTCCAACAAGTTAAGCAAAGCTTCCTTTTTTTTTTTTGAGGTTGAAAATGAGAAAAGAAAAAGAAAGAGCATATTTTGAATTAATGAGAAGACTATTCTTTTATCTCTCTCTGAGTGACAGCAAATGGAGTCTAACACATGATGTAGCACAAAATCATACCAAAAAAGTGAAGTGGGATCTTCTGTTGGGATATTTAGACTTCCAAGTGCATTAAACTATTTGGTATAGATGGCAATTGGAATCATCAGAATGCCAACTCTAATTTGTTTAGAGCAACAATGTGACGACCGTTCTTCCAAAAACCCATTTAGATGAAAATTTTCAATTTATTCAAAAGATTAACCATGATAGAAAAGAAGAAACATTAAAATTTTAAAATCACTACCATGGTGTAAAAAAAAACTTATATCACAAGCACATTGATAATTAACTTGGGCCTTAGACTTGCAAAGTCCAGAAATATCATTCAACCCTTAGCCCAAACAAAACTCATACTTTCAAAAGAGTGTCACGTGCAAAGTCTCAGAGACCTCTTACCTTCTAACAGCCCTCTCATCAATTAGCAATAATCAAAACATATCAATTTACAACATCAGAATAGATAAGCCCTATGTGGCAATATATAATAAATCAGCACATAAAACAAAAGAAGGGAGGCTATATAAGCTATAATAGCACACTAAGCCTCCAAGGCCTTCCCCACCAGATCATCACCTAAACTATTACCTGAAAATGTTAAACCACGGGGTGAGACAAACGCCTCACTAACCAACTTTCTGATTCATCATACATATTAACACATGCTCATGAGGTGTCAAGTGTGATAGTTATTAATTCTCAAGAAACATAGATATATCCATAGAAATATAATTTCAATCATCCAAACCTTAACTATGGGGCTAACACACAAGCCACAGAAGTCTATCCCTCACTATGGGGGATCAATCCTACATATAGGTTTATCCCACTCTTTGGGGGACGAATAAGTAGTCACAAAGGTTAATCCCTTATTATAGACCTATCCCACACTTTGAGGGACGAATAAGAAGCCACAAAGGTCTATTCCTTACTCTGGGGACGAAGGAGGAAGCCAACTAATGTGTACCAGTGGCAGCCTTACCACGTGGTAGGATAGGGCTTAATCCAGAATCCAAATAACAACCAACATTCACAATATAACAAAAAATGTCTCAATCTTTTCTCAGTATAATCCATAAGATACAAACCATATGTCTTTTCCAAATTTCTCAATCACAATTCTAAAAACACCACAAGACAATTTTCATAGCTCAAAAGATATAACTTACAAACAATATATTAGCACATATAACAAGTAAAAAGTGGTTATCTCTCGCCAAAGCAATAGATAGGATTACCATGAGGTCAATTCTTTGCTCAACCAATAATTAATCTACACAATTAATACAACCACATATTAATATAAGCTAATTAATTAATTAATTAAGCTTATATATCAGTTAAATTCCTAATTTAATTTAGTTTTCATTCTAAATTCCCACAACTCTCATAACCAAAAATTAAGTATTTTAGAACTAACTTATAATTTTCTAACATGCCAAATTATTCATTTGCATCCACCGGATTATTTACTTTAATAAAAAGAACTTTCTAAAATTTCTAAATATAAAATTATTATATTTTAAATTCTAAAAATCTCATTTGAAGTTCAAACCTCAACACTAAACTATCAAAAATTCAATAGTACCTCAAATATTTATACATAAATAATCCAATCAAAATTCTAATGGTATAACTATTTTTTCCCATAAATAATGAACATTTTAACTAAAATAAGTATTTTAAAACTTCCAGTTACCCAATGAATAAAATTGAACCGATTAAAATCTCAATAATATGTCAAACAACCCAAATAAATTAATTAATTTAATTTTAATCGGTATAAATATGATATATCTCATAAATAACATTTTTTTTTAAAAATCAATTTTTAAATACTAAAATTAGCATATGGACAAATCTAAACCGATATAAATAATCTACTATAACAGGTCTACAATACTATGGCTAACACTCATCAAAACTAAATACTTGCTCCAAACTCTATACTAAAAATTTTCTCTAAGCAACACAAAATTATTATCATTAGATAGATCTGATTGAGTAAAACAACTTTCATGAAAGAAGTTTTGTAATTAGAAGTAGTTTTATTTACCAAAATGATCTATAACGATGGAGAAAGAAACAGAAGGAGAGAGTGACACTGCAAGCCAGAACGCGCAAAGAGAGAGAGAGGGAGAAGAGAAGAAAAAGACCAGGAAAAAGGTAGAATGAAAATACTCAAGATAAACTGAAGTTAAAGACCCTAGGTAAAACGGAGAAAATAACATTTTGAAACCCTTTTTTCCCAATTTTTAAGTAGTTCAATCCTTAGAGTAAAATTTAAGATGTTACAAACAACATATCAAGACCTCCTTAGAAGAAACAAGCTATACAATTGGCATCATGATAGTGAAATGCCGGTCCTTACTATTCTTGAGGTGCAGTTGGATTAAAAGTGGATGACTCAGTTCTTAATCAGTTGTAGAGATGCTATAAAGGATAAAGGTAATAATTAGATCTGCTGGTTTAACTATAAGATTACCAACGTTCCTTCTTCCATCACAGAACTAATTGAGCTCATCTGTAGGCTTTATTTATGTTCATCAAAAAACTATAGTCATGTTTTTGTGTTTTCTGATCATATCAAGATTATAAACTTGCTGAATAGGGGTTGTGACTTATCACATTCTTTTAGAAATCTTATAGATGAAGTAAAGAATTTATTTTGTATGGATTAACAGATTGTTTTGAGTTATCTTTCTAGGGTTGAGAACTTTATAGAAGACCACTTTGTCAAGATGTCTCATACTTGTGAAGAAAATTATTAGATCTTTGATCACACTCTATCTTTTCCCTAATTTGGAATGGATGGTGATAAAGGAAGCTTTTCGCTTTTTTGGCCTTTTTTTGTTTATTCTCTTTTCTGAAGTAACGGTATCCAGTTTTCCCTTAAAAAAAAAAAAAGGCATAGTTCTATGCTTCATGCATTGGACACAATGTAATGCTTGTGGCTGCAAACATGATTGTGATCTTAGATGTGCTTCCCCTTTAATGGGCAAAGCTAGACTAGTAAATTATCACAAGTCAAAGATATTAAGGGGTCAAATGTCTTTTTCCCTCGAATAAAAACAAGTCATAAATTAAAATAAGAAAGATACAAAAAAGCCCTTGTTTTGTGAACAAGGGTATATAGCTTGAAAAGAATGACATGTTGACAAAAGTACATGAAAAGAATCAGAAAAAATTAGAAAAATGACAAAACAGACCATAAAAATTACAAAATTTCAAATTAGGTATTTTTCATAAATATATTATTATTTGCAGATCAAGTGTTGTCAGTTTCAAGTGTGGTAACCCTCCTAATCTGAATTTAGTAATTTTTTATTTTTAAGGTCTTTAATTGTCATTAGAAAGAATTAGTCATAGGGAAATAAATTACTTTTTGGATAATATAAAATTTGAAGACAACAAAAAGTAAATTGAAAAAAAAAAAGGTTCAGAAATGCCTTTGATCAAAATGACATGGAAATATTAAAAAAATTTAGAATTTTTTTCCTAAGTTTTGAATAATTTGTTACGATTCCTCTTTCTTTCCACAGAGGTGCAGGAAATTGCATCGAGCATCAAAATCGATAATACAATACACACGATAATTGATCCAGATCTTTCCTACATGCATACTCTTTTCTGGCTTCACTCTGAAAAGTATAAGGTCATTCCCGCGTAATCCTCTGATTCCTTTTTGGTAGAGTAACTGGCTACAAGCCTACAAGCTACGCCAGTGATCATTCACCACCAAAAATTAAAAACAGAAAAGCATAAATGGAGCCCACTGATTCATAACAGTCAAAATACTAGCCGACTCTGAAACTGTGCCTTCCAAATTTACTATGCATTTTCGCCTCTGCCACACAAATTCTCAATATGTTCCTTTTCTTTTAGCATGCCCCTGCTCTGGAGCTCCCCCACCAATGTCTTGAATGACCTGCTCATTGGACGTAACCCCTGCAAGACCATTTCCTCGAAGAAGAAGCAAGCACGCTCAAGTTTTCCACTTTCACACAAACCATTTATTAAAAGAGAATATGTTGCCAAATCAAGACTCACGTCGTTCCTAAACATGTGGTCTAACAGAAAGTTTAGCACCTTCATTCTCTTCTTTCTGAAACACATCTTCAGCAATGGATGATAAGTCTCTGTATTTGGCTGAACTGATTTCTCTTCCATTTCCTTGAGCAACCCAAGAGCAGTCTCCTCCTGTGAGCTTGCACTAGCAAGGGAGATCATCGTATTGTATGTGATAACATCTCGGATAACCCCTTGCTTTGGCATATCATCAAACAGATCAAATGCATCTTTAAGCCTGCCAGCTCGGCCAAAAATGAACATCAATGAAGAATAAAAACGGGCGTCAGGTACACACCCATTGCTCTTCATTGTCTCGTAAAGATCCAGAACTTCAGATAATTGTCCTGCCTTCCCTAAAGCATGCATGAAAATAGTGTATGTTATAACATTAGGTGACAAACCCTTTTCCTTCATCTTTTCAAAAACTTCTCTCACTTTGCGGAAATCCTTCTCTCTGCAATATGATTCAACGATACTAGTGTATGTAATAACATCTGGGTGAAATCCATGTGCCCTCATAACCTCTATCGCTTGATAGGCTTGATCAAGTTTTCTACATTTACAAAACCCATGAATCAGGATATTGAATGAATGAACATCTGGAGAAATTGAATCCTTAAACTCCAAAAGAACTTTGTGAGCATGCTCAACACTATTTTCTTTCACCAATGCGTCCATGAGTGCATTCAATGCTGCTATGTCCTTTTTCACACCAAAACGCTCCATATTTCGGAATGCTTCCACAGCTTCTTCATACTTCCCTGCCTTGGAAAGCCTCCTTATTACCCTAACCATTGTATCGAACGTCAGATACCCTTCAAGTTGATACATTTCCTCAACTAAATTCCACACAAGATCAAATTTCTTCGCCTTGCCCAAAATATCGACCATGAAGTTATACAATTCTGGAGAATGCACATAAGCTGTCTTTGTCTTTGCCCATATGAAAAACCCCAAAGCTCGGATCCAGTCATTGCAAAATCTGTTCAAAATCTTCTGAACCAAATTCTCTGATACAAGAAAATCATACCTTTCTAGCGACTCCGCAACTTTGTCTGGAGAAAGATGTAGTTCTTTAAGAACTCTACTGATTGGCGTGACATCGTCCTTGTTCTCCCTCAAAGAGAGTCTCGTCACTTGGGTTTGACCATTAACCATATGGGCATTAACCCAATCAGCAAGCGCAGGGATAACGAAGTCATCATCAGAGTCTGCGCTTTCAGGGGACTGATTGTCAGGTAACTTGACCCAAACCGGAAGTTCTGGTGACTCGGGAGATTGCTGAGAATCAACCATCGTACAAAGTGGGTTGCTGCACAAGAAGTAGCGCAACCCATTACTGTTGGTAAGTCTTTGAGGAAGGCGATGGTGAATGACTTTCAGGATTTGCAACTTAAATAGCATTTTCAGTGAACTCTGCATTCTTCTCCAAAAAATAATACAACCGGGGTTTAAGCACTGTTTAGGTTATGTCGTGGAAATCCTCTCCAGTGTATCTCTTGGGCATCAAAAGCATACTAATACTGTGGATTATGCTTTACACAGTGATGACCATTGGAGGCCTTCGAGTGGTGGCCGAAGGTTCCCAGTTCCGATGGCGGTAATTGATGATTTAAGGTAGAACCTATAAAGATTGCTCTCAAGGAGTCTGAGCATCTGATCTCCAAGGCTTGAGGTTGGAAGCAAAGAACGAGACAGAGAGCGAGGGAAAACCTGAAGGTGCGACGGTGATATTGAAAACAAAATCGAAGTTGCCAACTAACTGAACTACCCAGTGGACATGCGATGAGATGTTAAGAGGACCAGCGGCGGCGGAGGCGATTAGGGTTCAGTAGAGGGGCGGACCACGGCGACCGCGAGGACGCGAGAGAGAGCAGGTATGGGAGAAAATTTAGGGGAAAAAATTAAATTTAAAATAAAATAATAAAGTAGGCACGATGCAATGCCACGTAGAAGATGTTTTTGCGGTGTTAAAAGCACTTTAAACAAATATTTTTATGTAAATCGAAATCAAATTTTTTTACATATTGATTTTGAACTTGGTAAAATTTTCAAGTTTTCAACCAAACATCTTTTTATACAATTAGAATATGATATTTAAGAGTTGTTTGGCAAATCGGGGGGGGGGGGGGAGTGCCATGCACACATTTTTATCTTATTTTATACAACACAAAATTACTTTAAAAACACTAATCCAATCACTGATATAATGATATGGTGCTTTTTCGGTTTATCAGATAAATAATTTTTAAATATTAAAAAAATTAGTTAATTTAATTATTTATAAGAAATGATGTTTTAATTAATTTAACTACTACATTCTATCCTTAATATAAGACCTTGACTTTTATTTTGGTCTTAAATATAAGATTCTAATCCATTTTGTCTCTCATATTTATGTATTTCTTCTAAAGTAGTCTTTTTTAACAATAATAGTTCTAGCCAATACATTTAATTAGTAAAAATATTTTAAGAAAGACACTATTTATTTATTATAAATAACTAATTTAACTTTTTTTATTAATCTTTTCAAATTAATCAACTAATTTAGGTAATATTTTGCAACATGTGATGTTGGTTTTCTAAAAGTCTTGGATGAAAACCCTCCAAAACATATCTTTCCAACATCTTTGACTGCAAAAAAAAACAAGAAGAAGGTATATTCAGCATCTTGATCTTTATTACATCAAGCATCGTGATGTTTTGTGGGATGTAATTTTACGCTTGTTCTTTATAATTTTAGATCAATTTTACCGCTTCTTAACTTACTTCCTAACGTCTGTCAAAAAAATGAGATTTTTTTTATTTTTGTCTTCCACGTCAATATCATCATCTTCATCCTTTCCCGATAAAGAGTTGGACACCATCGCTGTCGGAGCGCAGCATTGAACTTCCAAGCCGTCTTTTTTCTTATTCTCAAACTCGCCATGCCTCCATTCATCTGCCTCATCGTCCTTCCAAAGCTCAATTCACTTCCTCCCTGCAAATCTCCCGTTTCGAGTAGCAGTAAGGGCCCTCCTCATATTCCCAATCCTTCCCTTTTCGGGTGTGTTTGAATTGGTAGTAAGAAAACTGACTTTTATTTTATGACTTTTATAAAGGTGAGTTAAGCTAAAAGTCAGTCCATTTACATTTGGATTGATTTTTATTAAAAAAATCAAATTAAAATTTGTTTGGATAAGTAATAAAAAAATAAGTTCAGATATAAAATAGCCTAACTTATAAATTTATTTATAATCTAGTGATATATATAAATATTTTAGAGAAATCATTTAGCATATGACATGATTAAGTAATTTATTTAGCTTTCATAATTTCTTCAAATTAGTCCGTTGAGTCTTATATTAAGAATCTAAGACAGTATATTACATGTATATTTTCATCTTCATTTTTTCTCTCTCCACACTAGAAAAGAGAAAAGCTAATATTTCTAGGGTGTATTTGGATTAGCGGTGGTAGAAATAATTTTTTTTTAATCTGACTTTTGTATGCGATTTATGTTTAGATTGGATTTTGTAAAAAAAATCAGTTTGAGAAACTAAAACTTGTTTGGATGATAAATAGAAAAGTAAGTTTGAATACAAAATGACTTAAAAGGACATATATTTTATTAAGTAGTATATATCTAATATTATATATATAATATGACCATTTTAAAAGAAGTACGGAAAATAAAATTATTACAAATAAAGAAATTTAATTTATTATTAGAAAGAAATTATATATATAATGTGACCATTTTAAAAGAAGTAAGGAAAATAAAATTACTAAAAATAAAGAAACTGAATTTATTATTAGAAAGAAATTATATATAATGTAACCATTTTTAAAAAAGTAAGAAAAATAAAATTACTAAAAATAAAAAAATTGAATTTATTATTAGAAAGAAATTATATATATAATGAAGACGTTGGGGAGGCCTCTGTTTTTTTTAAATCGCAAATGGGTGTATCTCATTTTTTCTTGTATCAGGAGAGAGAAAATACATGCAAGAGGGTCAAAGCGGGTAACAAATTTTAAAATCCAATTACTACTCCAATAGTATTACTAAATGCCCTGGAAATTAGGGGAAAAAAACAGCTCAAGATAACTTTTTATAGAAGTCCATTTAAAGGCCAAAAGTCAGATTTGCAAAAGATGGGCCGAAACATCTTTTTTTCTTCCACCTACAACTTTTCCGGTTCGGATGCATGTTTGGGGTTCCAAACAGCATCCCAAACACACTCCTAGTGTTGTACCGCACTGAGTTTTTCCTCCACAAGTTAGTTGGGTTAAAAACCCACCCAAACAACCTTTAATCTATAAATGAACCTTGAATCTGCATTTTATAGAGTCCGAAGCATGTCAGCTCGATGAATAGGCAATCCAAACACACTGGTCATTTGAGTCGCTAATAACTTCAATCCTTTGGTTTCAGGTTGTTTTGTACAAACAAACTCAACATGATTCACTTCCCTTCTGATGGTGATTATTTGGGGGTGAAATAAGTTTCCTATCCCATGGAACTAAGAAGCTACTTTTATTAAATCAAATCCAATCCAATAAAAAAAATTAATGACATGTTTATGAAACTCAAAAACAAAAATGATAAAGAAAACAGGTATCTCCAGTGCACTCATATTTGTGCAATAGAATCTAAAAGTAAATGATATTTAGAAACTAAAAAAAAAAAACAATACAACAATCCAAAAACATCCGATCATCCATAATGAAAAGAAAGCTCGCACTTTTTGGGCATTTTCTTGGAAAAACAGGGAGATCAAAATTGACGAAGGCCAAGGTTAGAAAGATGGAGCAAGGAGCAACATTATAGCCATCATGAGTAGCAGTTAAAAGGTGCGTCAGTGCTTCACAGGAAGAAAGGTGTTGGTGGAAATTCGATAAAGATCACAGGCTTCTAACTTGACTATTTGCTCATACCGCTTCTAAAATTTTGATGCAAGGCTCTCTGGCGACGATGGTGTCCAGGTCTTTGTCGATGAAGGATGCAGATGATGATGTTCCCATGAAAGATAAAAACCAAAAAATTGCACTGTCTTAACGGACGTTTGGAAGGAGGTTAAGAAAGGCTGAAATTGATACAAATTAAAAAAAAGGATAAAATTACACCACATAGCTCGAATTGGAACATGAAAACATGACTGAATTGGTCCTAGTTACTCTTCGGGATGGAGTGGAGGAAGGGGAGAGATTCTCGAACAAGGAAAAGGATCCAATGACTTCGAAAGAATTGAATGAGAAGCCCTATGAGGTGAAAATCTTATGTACGGTTCTGCAGAGTGGCAGTAAGCGTGACTTATCTATCAACTTTTCCACTATCACTCCAAAAAAACAAAAAAAAAAACAGAGTGCTAGATATATTTTTACCCCCCCCCAAAATATCTCCAATTGCCCCAACATCTATACCCACTTTATATCTAATATAAAAGTCAAATAACTAATTTATAAAAAAATTAATTAAGTTAATTATTTATAAAAAAATATGTAATTGCATTTTTAAGATATCCTCTTTAATTATTTTTGTTGGGATTATTACCGGTTAAGAAGTCAGTTTGGACTCTCAAACATGATGCCAAACACACTCATAACTTGTTTGCAATAAGCTCTCTGAACGTGCATTCCAATAGAAGTCAAGAGAAAGAGCTCATTTTGAAGAGCTTATTGGCTTTAATGTGTCAGATATCATGTAGCGACTGAGCATGAGCATTAATAAGCGTGTGGGTTCCATTCGTCAACGGACCAGCAACCTCTATGCATGACAAATGATAGTGGGAATTAGGAAAGTTATTTTTTTTTTTTTATCAGAAGAGTAGTAAAGTTAAATTTTAGTACTCAAAAGTCATAACACACGCACACCAATTTTTTTTTTTTTTGAGTAAAATCAAAAGTCATGTGATTCTCATTCAAACTGCTTCAATCTACATGCCATCATAAAATAGACTCTCGATGTACTTCCTTCTGTTCTTTTTTTTTTTGTTTCACATTATATTTAAAATATTTTTTATGATTTTTGTAAAATTCTAAAATTTAATTTATATCATATATTATAAAATTATTTATAAAAAGTTAATCCAAACATTAAGAAGATGAATTATTTCTCAAATTTTATATAGAATTGAGGCAAACTTGTGTGTCTCATTCACGTTCAGGTCTTCTTTTTTTTTTTTTTTTTTGCCAACTCACATTCAGGTTAGGGGTGTTCAAGAATGACCCATCCCGGTCAGCCCGTTCCGGTCCCGGTCTTATTGGAACGGGACAGATCCGTCCCGAAATTTTTCGGGACGGGACAAATCGGGACGGGACAAAAAATGGACCGGGACGGGACGGGACACGGGACGGGCTCGTCCCGTCCCGGTCCTTTTTTTATTTTTTTTTTTTTTTTAATTTTTTATCCCATTTATATAATATTATTTTTTTCATATTTTTTAAAGATTTGAGACTATTGTATGGAACTATAGATATATTTATTTAGAGTTTTTATATTTGTTAATGATTTGAGATTATTGATGATTAGAATTTTTAGCAAGTTTTTATTGTGTTAAAAGCTTTTGTTTAGAGTTTTTAATGATTATTATATGTAATATTTTAAGTTTTATTTAAGAGTGTCCAAACAAATAAATAAAAATAAAAAGATGTTTTTATAAGGTTTAAGCCCAAAAAAAATAATTAAAAAAATCAGATTTATTTAAAAAAATTTTAAAAATTTAAAAAAAATTAAAAAATTAAAAAAAAAAAAAAAAGGGGTTCGGGACGTCCCGGTCCCGTCCCGGATCCGTCCCGTCCCGACCGGGACCGGGACAACCCCGGGACGGGCCGAGACACGGGACAGAAAATCTGTCCCGTTACTGTTCACCGGGACGGAACCGGGACGGGCCTGTCCCGGTCCCGATCCGTCCCGTGAGCAGCCCTAATTCAGGTACAATTATTAGTACTCCTCCAATCTTTAATATATTGGCCAAAAAAAAAATCTTTAATATAATACCTATTTAACTAATTTGATTATATTAAAGAAGTTAGGTAAGTTAGTTAATTATAAAAAATATGACATGTTTTTCCTAAAACACCATAATTATTTTTTTAATATCTTTCCTCCCTCTTCTACTTGATTATGGTTTAGGGAGTATTCATAAAAATAATTTAAAAAAAATTAATAAATATAAAAAATATGTTTTATATCTAAAATTAAAATCAACTCAATAATAGCGTTTGACAAAGAACCAGAGGAGTATATGCGATATTCTCTTGAATTTGTTTTTTAGGAGAACGACATGACTGTTCCCGGTTGCTGAGATGGCCTCTCATGATTGGTTTCTTATTGTTTTTGTGGTAATTTTACTGGCCTCTTTTGTAGCAAAGTAAATTTTTTTTTTTTTTTTTGGGGTTCAGATAACATGGGGGTCCAAACGTCCGCGTCTATTAAACCTTCTTTATTACCTCAAAGGGGGATATCTCGGATTTGAGTAACCTGTTTGAACTCAAAACCTAAACCCTAAATGCTTGTGGGTTAGTCTGTCATTGCTGGTTTTTGATTGGCTTTGTAGATTATGGCTTCAGAAAGCGCTTCTCGATCGAGCTCAGCGGCCGATTCCTACATTGGCAGCTTGATTAGCTTGACCTCTAAGAGTGAAATCAGATATGAAGGGATTCTGTACAATATCAATACCGAGGAGTCCAGTATCGGCCTCAGGAATGGTACTGCTTTGTTTTCTGCGCAGTAATTTCATCGGGGTTTTATCTGTTTTTAGCCGAATTGGGGTTCATTTTATTTTAGATCTTTTAGCCCGGTCGTTGATTATGACTAAAATTTGTACATCACGACCACCACAAATACTTCGTCCTTTTTGAACTGTGGGTTATTTCAACGGGTTGTGAATTACAGTGTTATAGGAGGCTTTCTGAATTTCTTGTTGATTGTGTGTCTGCTGTGGAGAAAGGGCGAAGGCTGAAGGGTCTAGTAACAGTAAGTCTGGACGTAGTAGTGTGGGCATATGCACCATGAACGCGGTTTTGAAACTCTTAGCATTTGATTTTTGGCTGCACTTCTTATCAGTATTTTTTTAACTATTGGAAAGCTTTGTCATATGTATGTCAGGGTCAAAGGTTTTTGAATTGTGCTTTTTTTCAGCATGACATATGATTATCTCCCTGGTTATTAACGGCAAGTTTTCTTCAAGTTTATTTGTTCTCTCCATCGTTGGAATAGAAAGAATCGCAATTATTAAGAACTGTATAGTATGGAAAATAATTGTAATCAATTTCATTAATTTATCACTGAGAAAAAAAAATATAAATTTGCTTGTTAAAATCAGAGAACAGACAGAATGGGACAGTGAGGGAAAAAGCTTGTATAGAATTTGACTAATTTGACTATTTTTAATTGGTTCCCATTATTTTTATTGTGATTGAAGATGTCTTTCTGTCTTCTTCTCCTTCTCCTTCATCTTTTTTTTTTTTGGGAAGACTCGGGTGTTCTTATTTCATCAAAATATCAAATGATTTCGTAGCCCTCTTATTGTGTTTATTTTTGGAGGGAACTGGTTAAGAAATAAATGCTTCCTTGGCTTTGTTTCCTTATTTAAGTACAATGGATCAAAACGTGGGCTTAAATGATTCCTTCCATTATCAACCCATGCATAGTTGTTACCGACATATGTGGCCTGCATATGTGGAAGAATTGCTGAGTGTTGTGCCCGTAAAACTTGCAGTGTTGCTAATAATAATATTAAATGCGTCGGCATGGCACGTGGCGTGACGTGCTTTGCAACTCCCCATAAATTTATGACCTGCTTATCTTTTTCAAGTTTGTAATTTCTGATTTCTCTTTTTTCCTTCTATGATTTCAGTGCTTCAATACTTTGTATTGTTCATTTTCAAATTTTGTCTCTATTCCTTGACTTTGACTAGAGAGCCCTTCACTTTTTCTCCATTTCTAGCACAATCCATTTAGGTTAGCGAACATCAATTATGTTGAAATGAAACTTTTTGTCATTTTCCTGAACTTTTTACGTTGAGTTTGGCTTCTTCTTTTTTTTGACTCGAGCATTTGATATTGTATCTCACGCCTCTTTCAGTATTTGCATTATTTGTTATTTTGGAATATATTTTATCTGTGTTCATAAGAACAGTTCAATATGGCAATGTTCCATGCACTATATGCCATGACTTCAGGAGCCCCCATTGCAATATTGCCCAACATGCCATTGACTGCCATGTGCCATTTTATTCCCTTATGTTCCATCCTTGCAGATACGTAGTTAGTAGTAAATAAATTGCTGGTTTATGTTGTCAGATTATAATATCATTAGATGTCTTGTTTAGTAAAAGTTATGGGAACAAGCTGCGTTTCATCTGTGTGATTATAAGTTGAAAGCCAGCCAAATGGCTTTAAAAGGCACATACCAGAAAATAAGACGTGCATTTTTTTTCTTTTCCCAACACCTTCATGACTTGGGTTCCATTTCTGCTGGATTATTACCATTACCATTTTTTTTTTTTTGAGGGAGGGGGGAGATGGTGGTAGGCTCTGAAAACTTTTTTGTTGTGAAGTGGAGACAATCTTCACGGTACTGATAATGAAGTGACAGTTTCGATATTTCCCATTCTTAGTCCTTATACAGATGCCTTAGGGGAGGGTTTGAACAGCCACCAAGGGGGGGAGTTGAAGTCTTCTATAGTAAATATAAAGGTTTTAGAATTTATCATCATCATCATCCCAAAAAAGGTAGCACTATCTCTGGTCCTAAATATAGGAGTTAGTCTGTAGTACAATTTACACTACAAAGTAACTCTTATATTTAGGACTGGAGGTAGTGGTAATATTTTTTCTTCTTTTGTAGTTCGGTGTTGGTCTTGGGATGAGAATCTAGGCTAAATGAAAGAGTTGCCTGATTAATTAGCTAATCAAATCTGAAATAGTTTTCAGATTTAGTACTATTTAATACAAATCAAATCTTTCATTAAGCAGAAATTGTGGCACCAGTCATTCTCCTTAAGTATTAATCATTTTCTGCCCTTTTTGTCCTCTTGTAGCAATTTAGCTGTTATGTTAGGATTAAGCAGTTTTAATTTTCTTGTTTTCCTTCCATTTCTGGAGCGTGGCCTGTGAGTCAACTTCAGCTCCATCCATGGCTTTTTATTTTCGTCTTCCTCCCTTCGTATCAAGCGGATGTTTTACAAAATGATAAGAAGTCTTATCCCACACCAAGCAAGTATTTTGTGGTTGATAAAATTAATCCATGAGCATTTTCAAGTGGCGACATTCTTCTTTTTACTACAAATAGAATGACTGTTTCACTATATCTTATTTGCAAACCTCGTTTAGGGGCCCTAGGGAGGGTTTGGCCGGACATTTGGGCAGAAAATATAGCCTTTTTAAGTACTGGAAATGTTTTAGACTGTATTGTCATTCTTCCAAAAGAGGTAATAGTGAGAATCCGTTTGTGGTGTAGTGGGGAGAATCTTTACTGCATTTATCAGATGTCAGTTTTATATTTTCCATTCGCAATCCTTCTACAGATGCTATTGGGGGTTTGGTGATTGGACTGACACTAACGGAAGAAACCGTTAAGTCTTATGTAGTAAATATAAGTACCCCCCCCCCCCCACAGGAAAAAAAAATGCTTAAATTTTTCTTAAGCCTTTTATTTTGGTGGACTGGCAATGTTGGTATGTTTACCTTGCTATCTCTCAGATTTGCAATATGTGCATAATTCTCTTCTAACAAATCAGATAGTTGCTGCTTTGAATTCTAATGACTTGTCTTAATTATTTGCTGTCAGGGGCTCCTTAATATGTTTTTGTTTGATGCCACTAGCATGGTTGTTGTAGTGATGCTTTTATTTTTGTGGGGCAGTACGATCTTTTGGAACTGAAGGAAGAAAAAAGGATGGGCCACAAATTCCTCCTGTTGACAAGGTTTATGAGTACATACTGTTCCGTGGGAGTGACATCAAGGTATAATTTGTGGAATTGTCGATCATAGCCCAACACCTTTTTCCATAGCTGTGATTTTAAGCTCCCAATGACAATTAATTTCCTATGTTGTCCTGATTTTGTTGAATACTTAAATCTGCTTTGGGAAAATATGGTTTGTTTTCTTTGAATAACTTAGTCCCAGTTTTGCTCAAATCATAGACATACTGGGTCTTTCTGTTTGTAGTGTCCGATATTCATTATTGTTCTCACAGTCTTGTGTTGAAGGTTTAACTGATTAAGGTTCTAATTATTACAACAAAACATTCTGTATCATCATGTATTTTTTTAGCAGAGAAAGAAACATTGGAAGGCTGATCCATATTTCCTTTTGCCTTATAACTGTTACATGATGCAGACTTTTTAGATGTTACTGCATGCAGACTTTTAATACTACCTCCGGTCTTAAATATAAGAGCTAGTTGATTAATTTGAGTAACTTAAGAAAATAAGTTAAGTTAGTTATTTGTAATAAATAGATGTTATTCCTAAAATAACCTTGTTAATAAAGTTTATTGGCTAGAATTGCCATTATTAGAAGGATTATCTTGAGGAAAAAAATAAATAAATATGAGAGACAAAATAGATTGAAGTCTTATATTTAGGATTAAAATAAAAGTCAAACGAGATTTTATATTAAGGACTGGAGGTAGTATTTCATCAATGTGTATTTATGAATTAGATTAATTGAAATATGTGTTGTGCTTTCTTTTTTTGCAGGATTTACAGGTTAAATCCTCTCCACCTGTCCAGCCTACTCCCTCAATAAACAATGATCCGGCTATTATCCAGGTTGATTAGAGGTTTTGTATATTCATGATGTGGCAAAGTTATGTTGATTGCCTTCAATTAATTTTACGAACTTCTAAAGCGTATGGAATTGGTTTGCAGTCTCAATATCCCCGTCCTGCTACTACATCTACGAGCTTTCCTTCTGCTGCAAGTGGGCCTTTGACTGATCTTAGTTCCCATACCACACAGCTTGGGCTGCCTGGGTCAAATTTCCAAGGGCCCCTGCCTTTGTATCAACCTGATGGGAACATAGGGTCATGGGGGGCTCCGCCACCGGCCCCAAGTGCAAATGGTGGCGGGCTTGCTATGCCAATGTATTGGCAAGGATATTATGGCGCCCCAAATGGGCTCCCTCATATACACCAGCAATCTTTACTTAGACCACCACCTGGCTTATCATTGCCTTCATCTATGCAGCAGCCAATGCAGTATCCTAACTTTAATCCCTCCTTACCCTCTGGGACTTCAAATATGCCAGAACTCCAACCATCATTGCTACCTGCCAGTTCTATTTCTCCCAGTGTAACATCTATTTCCTTACCACCATTAAATCTTCCATCAACTTTGCCTCCTGCACCCTCTGTTTCATTAGCTTCTGAAACATTACCAGGATCAATACCAAGCAAAACACCAACTGTACTGCTTCCAGCGTCTGCATTAGCCTCTAACTTACCATCACTGGCTCCTGTGACCACATCTAGTCCAGATATAAATGCTGTAGTGCCACCAATCTCCAGCAAATCTAATGCAATTTCTTCTTCAAGTTTGCCATATCAAACTGCATCTCAATTTGCACCAGCAGTTGTTGGGTTATTAAATACCACACGTACAGAAACACCTGTCCCTTTGGTAACTCCAGGTCAATTGTTGCAGAATGGGCCAACATTAGTTTCTTCATCTCAACCTGCGCAAACATCCCATAAGGATGTTGAAGTGGTTCAGGTATCATCAACATCATCTCAAGAGCTGTCTTTGCCAGTTTCTTCTGAGACAAAACCCCCAATACTGCCACTGCCAACAACTTCACGGGCCAATCACAAGGTATTTTTCTCTTGCTTTCTGCATGGATATCACACGCACACAGATTAGTTTTGCATGTCCTTGTATGTTTGTATGTTATGATAGGCCTGTATTCTTGTAACTTGGATATACTTTCGTCCTATGTGGCTAAATTTGTCTAAGTTTTGCTCTGTATTTTCAAATGATTTAAAATCTAAAGTCTGTTTAGGCATGGTGGTTGGTGGTAGCATATGCACTGTATGCCCTACTTAATAATTGAGGGACCTCTGTTTTTGTTCTTACATGCTTGAAATGAACTTATCCCTACCTCATTCATGCATATATTAGAGATTCTCTTCTGAGATTTTTTTATGACATTCGTTTTTCTTTCTATCATATCATCAGTCTCTTTTCTAATATTCTTCGTATCTGGTTGCACTCTAGCCAAGTGGAGCTCCCATTCAGACACATCATAGTTATGGTTACAGAGGAGGACGTGGAAGAGGAAGAGCCATGGGGGTAATGCTCTGTTTCGTATTTCCTTTGAGATTAATTAGAGATTTCTGACATAATTATTTGTACCAAACCTGAAAATTAATTGGAAGATTTGGAATTTTTGAGCTTGCTGCCAAGGGGGAACTTAAAAATTCCCTCTTTGATTAATATTTATGACTGTTTCGCTTAAGAACATATAATCTATCAAAATTCTGGAAAATGTTGCTCTGACCTTGAAGTCTTTGCTGCTTTGAGGTTTAAGTGCATGTGATATACGATTTTTATGCTTGCTGATGCTGAACAGAACAGTTTAGGCAGGGCGGGAGGAATGTTTTGACAGGTCTCTAAATTTTAAAGATGATGTCTGACATGTAAATCTATGACAATCCTGTTAAAGCTAGAAGTTTGAATTTTTGCAGGGTTCACGCCCAGTCGCAGAGTTCACTGAAGATTTTGATTTCATGGCAATGAATGAGAAATTTAATAAGGATGAAGTATGGGGTCATCTTGGTAAAAGCAGCAAGTCTCACTCAAAAGAGAAAGATGCTGAGGAAAATGTCAGTGATGAAGATGGTATTCATGACGATGACTACGGTGAATTATCAAAATTTGAGATCAAGGTACGAATTTTACAGCTTGTGTGCAAATTTAAGTTTCTCAGGTATTCTTTATGCATAATTACATACTCGTCATTGCAAAGTTTGATCCTGTTATTTGTGTTTTCTGCAGCCTGTTTATCATAAGGATGATTTTTTTGACTCACTCTCAAGCAGTGCGCTTGATCACGATCCGCAAAATGGAAGGAGGCCAAGGTATCCTGAACAAATTAAGATTGACACTGAGGTAATTTCTGTTTTGGTTTTGCTATTCTATTTTTGAGGGATGAAAGGAGGGTTAATGTTCAAATGTGTATTACTGATCTGTGGTGCAGACATTTGGTGATTTTGTGAGGTATCGTGGTGGTCGAGGACGAGGTCCTTGGCGTGGAGGTGGTGGTGGTCGTTATCGAGGTGGTTATTATGGAAGGGGTTATGGCTATATGGGAAGGGGAAGAGGACGCGGCATGTCGAGTCGCCCTTAGTTGGCAGTGAAGATTCAAGTTTATATCATCATGAGCAATGAGAGCCAAGACCTGGCTAAAGTAGCATAATAGCATCTCAAGTCACTATTTGTATTCTCTGTTTAGCTTGTCTTCACTATAAAGGTGACACTTTCCCAATTCGTCATGATATCTTCTTTTGTTGCCCATAACCGAAAGCACCTGGTTTTTGGGGGAAGGATAATCTTTACCCCATCTTTATTTAGAAGGCGAGGTTTAGAGTCTAGAGCAGTTTGATTTGCCACCTTTAAGGAGTCTAGCAGTCTGTTTCAGATATGCTTATTTTCATACCGTATGCATTGTAAATGCGAGTGGCACTTGATTCTTAGTATCATTTGTAGATTGGGCATATTTTATGTGTAATTTTATGGAGGATTCGACGTTTTTAGATTTTAGTTTTTGAAGGTCACTTATTTTTTTCTACAGAGATAGAAGGCTTGTTTTTGTTTTTTTTTTTTTGACAAATTAATGATATAATGTTTTAAAATTCACATTTTATTTTATAGTAAATTGTATTTTGGGGATCGTAGTTTTAAACATTCTAATACTAAGCATAAGCATTAAATAGTATTATCTTCATGTTATCAAACATTCCATAATTTAAAGGATAATCAAACTTAATTAAACCTTGTATGCAATACAATAGTCTTCGAAAATACCATCAATGATCTGTTGCGCGCAGGAACCAAGATTCTTAACGGGAGCAGGGAAATTCTCTTCGGGTGGGTTTTAAACTTCAATCCATCAATTGTTAAAATGTGGTATTGCCCATCCATCATATTTTCATTCGGTAAAGGTGCCCTTATTTTCCTAGTTTATCAAACACTGATGTTATTTTTTAGCTATACCTATCACTATAAAAATTAGGATGTTGAATGTATTAAAAATAATAGAAAGAATTTCAGTTAAGGATCACTGTAGCAAAAAAATTCCATTTGCTCCCAAAAGATTTTGAATCTTTACTGTCTTCTAGAGGTTTAGTGAAATTAATTTCTGCAGGAAAAAGACAAAAATAACCCTAGAGGAAGAAAGAAAAAATAGACTACGGATAAGTGAATAAGCAAATGAGAGCCAAATAGATACACTCCCCATGAATACTGCCATGTCTCCATCTCCATGAATTGGTAATCAATACAATGACTGATGATTAGTCTGAAATCAAGTCACTCTGCTATCTCTCTATCTGAATTTGAGTTTTGCGGATTGTCCGTAATCGTGTCGCTCTGCCATTGGGAGTCCCGTTGTCATTGAACTTTGCAATTAGTCAAAACCACATCGTTGTTGAGACAAAGTCTACTCTTACTTCCTAGATAGTCTCATCTTCTTGATCTAAATTGTTAAATGCTTGTAGTTTGCAATAGGTACATAGTATGTGGAAATGGGTATGAAAAGAATGAGTTATTTCACAGGTTGTATAGTATGGAATACATCTGGTTTGAAGTCTGAATGCATGGGTGGATGTGTTGGTTTGAAGTCTAAATGAATGCGTGAATGTGTTGGACATGGGTAATATTAAACTACATCTAGTTTGAGGTCTGAATGAATGAGCGAATGTTTTGGATATGGGTGATATTAAACCACATGTGGTTTGAGGTCTGAATGAATGGGTGAATGTGCTGACATAGGTGACATTAGTGCATTGAAAAAAGGGAGAAGAACTTGATGCTTTGAAAATCTATATTTGATGTTGTGAAAATCTATATTTGCATTGTAATTTGCAAATGCGAGTTGTCTAGGAAAATTACAATTTTTTGTGAAAACTAGTATTTTGTTGTAAATTCGCAAATTGTAGTTATAAATTCATAAGGTGTTTAACTTTTAAAAATGGATTGAAATTGATACGTGAATAATGTGTAGCAACATATTATATAGAGCTAGTACTAGTCAAAAATAATTATTTTGGATCTTCAATTTTACCCCACCAAGTGTAATTTTCTATTATGAGTTTATAACAAATAGAATATGCTAATTTGCAATAAGAATGCATAGATTAACAAAAAGAACATGTCAATTTGCAAGTGAACTAATTTAATCCATAAGTTGAATATGATAATTTATAAGTTTTGGAGATGCCATTCATAAGTGGGATATACCAATTTGCAACAAGAATATGTCGATTAACAAGAGAAATACATCCATTTACAAGTGGACTAATTCAATTCACAGGTTGAATATGATGATTTATAAATTTGGGAGATATCATTTATAAGCGGAATACGCCAACTTGCAATAATGATACGTAAATTAACAAAAGAAATATATTCATTTACAAGTAAATTAATTTAATTCACGAGTTGAACACGATGATTTATAAATATAGGAGATATTATTCATAAGTGAAATACTCCAATTTGCAACTAAGATATGTAGATTAACAAGAAAAATACGTCTATTTCATATTGCAATTGTTAATTGTTAAATCTTATCACAATTAGGAATAAACTCTTCTTATCAGCAAACTCACATTAAAATTCCCTCAAGCAAACGCACATGTTAGTTACCTGTACATTTTCATAATTTAAGTAATAAAAGAAAGTAATTTTCAGATATATATACACATATCAGCAAACTCACATAAAAATTTCCTTAGTGATTGTCTTTTATACGCATCAATTTCAATTTAAATATATGAAATAAGATTGGAGGGTTGGAATACAAATTTATACACATTATATTTTCAATACAAATATATAACATGAGACGTTATCGCTTTATTTTCCTATCTATCTTGATCCATTCATGTAGTTTTGATGTAGCATTTCTTTTCGAATTTCTTCCTCTTTCGCTCTTCCTCCCCATATTTGAAAAATCAAAACCTGTAACAATTGCAAGCATTTAGAGGATTAACAAGACAAATAAACTCATGAACAATTAAAATAAGTCAGTTAAAGCAACACCTTTTATCCATGTTTTTATAAGAATTAGCAATTAAAATTGGACAATTAACAAGAAGAGTAATATCAATATATGAAAAAGGTCCAAGTCTCGGTATTTAGAATCACTACTCGAGTATGCATGTTAACAACAACAGTACAACTATTAACAACAAAAATACGACAATTAACAACACAAATTTCCCAAATTGCTGACTATATATGTACTTCATGTTAAACCTATTACGAGTCCGATAAGCATATTTACAACATAACAATGTATTTTAGCAACAAAAAATTACACTTTTTCTAGACAAGTTAGTCTAATATCACCCATGTCTAGCACATTCGCTTACAACTTATATGTACTTCATGTATGAATTCACGACTACAATTTGTAAATTTACAACAAAAATACAAGCTTTCACAACATAAAATTCTAGTTTCCTAGACAATTGAATTTGCAAATTTACAATACAAATATGGATTTTCACAGCATCAAGTTCTTCTCCCTTTCTTTGGTGTACTAATGTCACTCATGTCAGCACATTCACACATTCATTCAGACCTCAAACTAGATGTAGTTTAATATCATCCATGTCCAACACATTTATCCATTCATTTAGACTTCAAATCAGCACATTTACCCATTAATTCAGACTTCAAACCAGATGCGTTCCATACTATACAACCTGTGAAATAACTCATTCCTTTCATATCCATTTCCACATACTATGTACCCATTGCAAACTACAAGCATTTAACAGTCTAGATCAAGAAGATGAGACTATCTAAAAGGGAAGAGTACTAATTGCAGAGCTTAATGACAATGAGACTCCCAATGGCAGAGCAACGTGATTACGGACTATTCGTAAAACTCATATTCAAATGAAGATATGGCAGAGTGACTTGATTTCAGACTAATCATCAGTCATTGCATTGATTACCAACTCATGGAGATGGAGACTATGGCAGAGTTCATGGGAAGTGTATCTATTTGTCTCTCATTTGCTTATTCACTCATCTGTAGTCTATTTTTACTTCCTTCCTCCAGGGTTATTTTTATCTTTTGGCTGCAGAAATTAGTTCAGAAATTAGTTTCACTTAGCCTCTAGAAAACTGCAATGGAGATTCAGAATTTTTTTCGGGGGGGGGGGGATGGAAATTTTTTTTTCCTTATAACGGTTCGTAATTGAAATTCTCCCAAAATAATATTACGGTGTTGAACGCGTCGCTGGATGTACTTTCACTTTATTTTAATTCACACCCAATTTTAATACACTATCAAGTATCAAACATCTGTTTTGCAGGCCAGAATTGCAATTTTTGGCTGAAAAATCGCAGACGTTTTAATATTTGATAAACCAAATGCATGAGAGAGATTTCTACTTGCATATGGCGACTAGGACTCTTCTGGGAGGAACGGGAGGTCTTCTTCCATGGAGTATGGCTAAGTTATCGAAGAAGAGAACGTCTCCTTTTTGCCACTTAAACTGTATGCTTTCTTCTTCAATGATCTCTTCACATCTCTTCACCACTTTCTCTGCAATCTCGCTCCCATCTTCCATGGCCGCCGAGCTGTGCTCCTTGCCGTGCATCCCCACCACTGTGTTGAACCACATCCTCCTTCCTTTCCTGCCTTCGAACACCTTCGTTAATGGCCTTGGCCCTATTCTCGTCTTCACTGCTCCATTTGACTGCCACTCTAAGTGCTCTCGCTCCGCACCAAGTGCACAAAAATGCATGCTCAAAGTTCCTTATTTCATTATATATCTACTACTTCTGGTCCTATTATAACTACTTTGAGCAGATTAAGTTTACATTTATCATTTTTTCAAATTAATTTGTCTTATTTATAAACTAATATATAGTCTAATGACACGTGTAAATATTTTAGAGAGATGACGTAACATATGTGATAATCAAGTAATTTAGTAACTTCATTAATTTTTTCAAATTATTTAACTAGCTACATGAGAAAACATGTTGGATTTGCTAGTAATTAGGACGGAAGTAGTAATAAGTATTTTGTTAGGTTGTAAAGGAGGCTACCTGATCTCAGCCAGCTTGGGATCAGAAGTTGCGAAAGCATCGTGCCAGCCGCGTCCTCTCATGGAGGAAGTGTCATTCTTACTGAGAGCAGTGAAAGAGTAAGCGAGACCCTTCTTCTCCATCTCTTCCACTGCTTCTGGAAACTCCTCCACCATCCTCTCTGTAACTTTGAAGCTCGGAACAAATGGCGTCTCTCCTCCTTCTGGTGGCGCCACCTCACAGAACAGTATCACTTTCTTCGGATATTCCTTCATCTCATTAATGTACAAACTGAAATCTAAATTAACCAGAAACAAAGAAGGAGACAGAGACGTGTGTGTGTGTGTGTGTTGATGTACCAGAACCACCTCATGGTGGAAGTAGATGAACTGAGAGAGGGGACCTTCATTGGCAGTCCAGACTCTTGTAAACGTGGGTACGAGGTGCGGGTCCCACGTAGCGAATGTCTTCCCAGCCAAAGGTTTCGATGA